TCAAGGTGGATTTTCGGAATCAGCGCCTCGAATCACCCCAAGTAAGCAAAAAAAACTTCAAGTCGAGAATCTGCCGAGTCGCTGCGTTTAGGGAATACTTTTGCAATAATCGGCGTTTCCAAATATTTCCCTTGGAAGGCAGGGCTTGGCTAGCCACAGAAAGTTTTGGGCCTTCCCAAAAATTTTCTTTATGGAGTCAATTGTTTCTTGAAAAGATTTACTAACTAGTTTCACCTATTTAAAAGCAAAATAAAATTTTCTACACAGCCTTGGTATGGTAATTCTCGATGCTCCTGTTCACTTTGTCGCTGAAGAGCTCATTTTGCATATTCACTTCCTATATATTGTTTAATCATTACTCGGTATTCCCTTCCAATTGTGTTTGGTCTGCCATCGACATTTGTTACCGCGTCAGGTGTCTAATTAATGAGAATCATAGTTATCTCTGCCACCAGTTCTGTTTATTGATGACGTGAAACTTAGTGGCGGTCCACTACAGAAGATGTTTAGAATGTACGCCATCGTGATCAGTTGAAAGACCTGAACGCTTTTCTCAAGGATGGCACTGTGGCCCCTTCGACATCGCGAAACGAAGTTCCCGAGCAAAGTGATATGGATACAAAAGAGCAGGTTTCAAATTGTCGCCCTATACTGAATGAACAATTGGTCTGCAAATTTAACACATTCAGGCTACGGTTGATGCTAGTAATGTGAGAGCGAAATCTGGTCCATTGGGAGAACTGAGTGAACAGTACGACGTCAAGGTGGTAGTTTGATTGATATGCTTATAAAACTCCAATTTTGGAGTTATATTCCAGGTGGTTAAATCCGATGGTGAGAGTGAGTCAGCCACGCACAAACACGTTAGTCGCAAAGAACGACGGGGACGATTTCAAAGCCGACATAGGAAAGATAGTCCAAAAAAGGATGATTAGGTCACTCAACCATTTTTTCATAGGTCGTTTTTTTGCTTTCATCACGTTTTTGAACTTATATAAGTACATCGTTGTTCATACATTGTTCATTGTTTTGCTATAAAAATTTGAGAGGTTTGATTCTTGTTGTTTGGCACATGCGTAATCTCGCCATGGACCTGTTCAGCTTTTCTTCCACACTCCTATTCCTATGTTTATTTGTTACAGCGGCAGGATGCCGCGAAAGAACATCTCAATGATCCGGCGGACCTCAAACCGAGGCGAAAAACCACAACCGTCAGATAATGGGAGTTCTCTCATGCCGCCGCCACCATCCCCTGTTCCCTCATCGTAGGTTCTTTTTCTTGCATTTTCCCAAACTCAGTTTCTTCTTCATCTTACGTCTACCCAAAGATTCCATTTCATTGCCTGTTTGGTTTGTTACGAAAACGTAGTAATTTTACCATTCTTGGTACAGCGATGATGTTCACTTTCTCTAAGTTTCTCTTATAGTCTATGCCGTTTTGCACATGACTGAAGCTTGTTCGGCGGCGACTTTCCCATAATCCTCACATGTTTAGTCCCAAAGATACTGTAAAAGTTAATCCACTTCCCTTCGACGAGATTCGCGGCAAGCTTTATGTTCTTCGAGAAGATCTGGATTTTGACTGGGAGCCTAGCAGCAATGCTGTTTTAAAGGTTTGAGGTTGATGATGGTAGTGCCAGTTCTTCATGTTTGCTATTTTAGCTGTTGTTTTCCCTAAGACTCTCTGCAGCGTTGTGGAGTAACATCAGTGATTGTGATGAGGTGCGCTACATTTGCATCGCCTTTACGAGGATAATATAATCGATCAAACGCTCAGAATCTAGGTCTATAATTATTGGGAACCGCTGCATCTTTTACTTTTTGGTGAAGGATTACAAACCTGGGAATACTCTCCTCTCTATGCAATACGGTAATCAAACTTGCTTTGTTTTCATTGTGTCTTAGTACCTATTTAGGTCTTATCTGTACATCTACCTTCATTATATCCCAGCAAACGTTTTATACCATTTGCTACCGTATTCTAAGATTGCACTGTTTGTCACTCTACGGTGTTGCATTGGAATATTCACCCTCATGGGAGAGTTTTTGCTTTACAAAGCAGTATGTAGGCGGTAAGTCAAAAGTTTTTTTTTGTGTTGAAACTACATGTTGTCTGACTGTGCAAACTTATGTGTCTCAAACATCTCTTTTAGTCTGAGTATAAGCATCGGCCTTTTCTTTGTTTTATTCTCGATGCTCTCCACTGGCATGTTCATATCAAGGTATGTCATTACAAAGTCACTTGCTTTTTAGTTTCAATGTGACTCTTCTTGCGTGAATTTATATTCCCACAATGCCCACAGCAGGCGTTATCGTTTCTATTTATATCACTTTATACCTTTTCTGTCTTTCTTTCTTCGTCCACGTTCCATTTAAAGCATCAAAAATTTTCAGTACCGCTTTTCTTCCGTCTTCTTTTGCGATGGCTATGAATATGTATGCTATGGCTGCTTTTTTGAACGAAAAATGGTGAGCAATGCAGCATGTTTCGTTCAGCTGTCTTCACTGTATACATTCAAGGTTCTACGCCATACTGTGCACAGCCATTTCCGCCCTTGTCGGTTGGCCATTCGCAGCTGTCTTAGGACTACCCATTGTGGTGGACATGTTGATTTTTAGGCCTAAGTAAGCATTTTACTTTACTTTCTATCGAGTTCTTTGTGCCCATGCCACTTTGTCAGGCTTCCCTATGATATCTAATCCAGGTTGAAAATGTTTTGGTACTACTCTGCGGTTTCTGGAATCGTTGTTGGCGGTTCTTTGCTGAGCGTCGATTCTTATTACTATGGCAAGCGTGTTCTGGTAATATTTCCTATTTTCCAAACAGTTTTTGGTCACATATGTTTTTCAAGTTTCGTTTTGTACTTCCGCTATTTTGACACCGTAGGTGTGTGCAGCAGTGGCGGACCGAGGGAGG